TATATGATTCACATGAAGGATTTCTCTGACCTCTTTTCTCTCTCAGCAAATAAATTATTTATAATTCTTTTCATAAGGAGATAATCAGCTAAAGAGCTTTCTTAAAGGTGGCAAAACTAAAAAGCAAATTAGTTTTATGATTTCAAAGAATTAGCTGACTATTTATTTATTATAATGTTTTCAGACTACTTTAGAAGTCTCAAAGGAAGAATGATGGTCCACTATCGAGCTATAAGGTTTCCTTTATGGACACAGTAAGCCAGTTTGTCTTGACAGACTCAATTGTGTTTGATTTCCTGTCACAGATATCCATCACAGAAATAGCAGCTGTGATTAATAGACTTTTGCCCACTAACCCAAAGCATTTAGAATGTATACCTAGAAGATATTCTATGATGGAGAATAACAAAGTTTAAAGAAGCTTTAACAACTGAAAAGTCAGTATCTGTCAGAGAAAAAGTGCTAGGAAAAGGGCTCAGAAAGGTGGAAAATAAGTTTCTAGATTTTTTTTTTTAATTTCAAGGAGGATGTGGATTAATAAGCCCTCAGGAAAATTTATGGGAAAGGTTTTCCCCATTTTAAGATGAAAATGATGTCTGGAATGTACTTAACAATGTATATGTTTGAAATATTTAGAAGATTCTCTTTTCTTAAGTAGATCATTGTAAATGTTTTATTAGTTAAAATGGTTTCCTTCCTACCCATTTGCTTTCTAACATCAAATTAAACATTATATGATGACAGTGGCAACAATGTAAAGGGAGCACTACAGACTTAGAAACACAGTAGCATCCAAAGGCAAACTGTTTCCATAACTAAGGGAATCACATTTTCCCCCATCAGATCCAGATCCATGACATAAAAGCAACATCTAGAAAAAGGAGATATGTTAGTGGGTTAAATTTTGGATTCTTCTTGCAAAAATTACAGACTTAGAAAACTTTTGCCAGATGAGCCTATGTGGAAAAGGGTAACCAAGGTTGAAATGTCTCTCACAGGACTGAGACTGTAGCTAAGTGTTAGAGTACAGCTCCACATATGTGAGGCCCTGAGTTCAAGTCTCAGGGCTAGGCAAACATACAAACAAACAAGAAAACAAACCCAAATTGAAATATCACTGTATAAAAAATTCATTCTCCCATTAATTGGTTCAATCAAGCATTAATTTATTCAATCAGTAAATTTTTTTTTGAGTTTCAGTAACCAGAAATCTATCAAGTTAAGCAAATATGACACAATTCTGTTCTTATAGAGGACATTTGCTGATGACATTTATTGGCCAGGTCCTTACATACTTGAAGGTATATTTTTCCCTTAATAGTTGAGGGAATTGAACACTATAGGTGCTTAACACACTGTTCAGCTTGGACAGAAATCCATAAAATTGTGAGCTAAATTAAACTTGTCTTATTTTTAAGTTTATTGTTTTGGGTATTTTGTTATAGAAAGGAAAGCTAACACAGCAGTGTTTTTACTACATAGTATCATTTTCCCCCCTATATATCTAGACATCATGGTTTAGTGAATATTCTGGCTCTTTTCTGATAGTTTATTATCTTGTTAGGCCTTTTATCTTCTATCTTAGCAATTAGAATCATGTTCTACATTACACTCCAGGACCCTATGGCTTAATGTATAAGTAGGAATATTGTACATATGTAGATTTGCCAAAAATATAGTTTACCTATTTATCATTTCAGTAGCACATATGGAAAAAAGTAAATAGTTCGTTTTGGCCTAAGTGGTTGAAAACCAAAAATACAGTGTGTGTGTGTGTGTGTGTGTGTGTGTGTGTGTG